ATTTCACTTTAGTAGAGTGGTTACCATTATCATTTGTCGCATATCCTTTAACCAATTTAGAACATGTATATGCTAAAGTAATAGGAAATAAACAATTATTTTTGCGAAGACCCGTGAACAACTACATGCATGACGTGATAGGCTTTAATACTCATTTTGAAGTTCAATAGGCATTCACTGTCTCACGTTTGATGGTAACACGACATATCATAATTTACTTTATACTCACTATGGGATAACAAGTTCCAAAAGAGGTTTTAATGGGAGCTGATTGGCTTATCCTAAATGGTGGATAAACGAAACAACAACATACGTGGTTCAAACTCGAACTTATATGGTAGCGGGGGAGGTCAAGCAACCATTGAACATGCGAAAAGATTCACACGTTTCTTTGAATTGTACAAAACTCTGGTATGATAGTACAAGAGAAAATGGAAGGAAATTTTGACACACGTATTCGGCCTTGCTAGTCTTAAGTCTTAATTAACACAAGAGCTTTCCATCATATGATTGGAAACCTCACGATGCTAATGGATATGACGTAAATTCTGGACTGGCCCTGAGGGCAAGCGGACCAAGCTGATGCTTGCGTCCCAAAATTTTTGATGTTTTGTTTACATATATTATCGGCCCAAAAATTTACATAAAATTTCTTTAGTTCTGTTGGTTCATGGGTTATATAGAAGAAATAAGAGGTGCATGATTCTATTCACACCCTTTGATCGTTCTGTTTAATTTTTTTTTTTTCAAAAAATCAATAATTACTGGTCCAATTTTTTTTTTTGCTTGTAGCCTTTAAATTCTCAGGCCGGCCTTGCTCCGTACTTAGTGAGTTTGGCTTATGGAAGCAAAATGTTTTTATAAGCTCCATCTCTCTAATTATATATCTCATGATGTCATTTGTTTTGGATTTATCTAACATTCGTTTTGATTGCCAAGATCTTGAAGCAACTAGATTGTACGTATTGCAACGTTCACTGATTTACCAAGTGTAGGTAGCTCTCGTACGTTGACTGATCGCTAAAGGAGGAAAACTCCAGAAGTCGGAGTTCGAACCTTATTTGGGAGAAATTTATTGAAATTGTGATGGGAAGATATATAGGCTGGGGAAAGAACTCTTCAGTTAGCCAAAAATTGAAAATAATAAAATATTCGCTCATTTTTAAGTGTATTACATGATTTTTTTCTAAATATCTAGATTGGAGTTGGTAAAAAGGACCAAAGGACCAAACAAACACTCAGCATAATAATTTTATAATTTATTTGTTTCACAAAAAATGTCAATTTTCATTTTTGTTTTGAAAGAATTATGTCATTTTAAAATTACATTATCATTTTTTATCAAAAAAAAAAAATGTGCGACCTAATTAAAATCAGGAAAAAAAACAGAAAAAGATTATATAATCCCAACGATAATTAACTTGTTTTTGTATGATATAATAGCAAATTTTATGATGTAAATGGTAACGGTTGAATTTGGCTGAATTTTTTGTGATTTTTTGGGGAATCTGGCGGAATTACTTAAAACTTAAATGGTAACAGCATAATCTGGCTGAATTTTTGA